CAGAATTCACAGACATCAGACGGCGTTTCGCGGAATTCGCCGAGAATCATCACGAGCGTCTTCGGCCGAACTCTTTCGCACAGCCGACACCATACCGATAGGCACGTGGTTTGGGAATCTCCCTTAGTCGCACCAGTAATTACACTCCGTAATCCTGCTTACGCACGACGCACTTCATAATCCCGCTTACGCGCGACGCGCTCGCACGAAGCAACGCGGTAGTTGCGACGAGGCGTCTCGTGCTCGAAATTCCCACGGCAGTTTCCGCCGACGAGACACCGACGAGCTGTGACATCAAACACCTCCTGCGACGAAAAGGTACCGAGTGTAGTACCCACCGACGTACGATTGCATGAGAATGTACGCGCGATATCGCGGGGCGACTTCGTCGTCGCTTCGAGGTCGATAGGGGTGGAACGGAACCGAACACTCGTGTCGCCCTGTGCGCGCGAAATATGCGTGGGCACGTGATCCGCGACGCGATAACGAGCTCGAGACGTCTCTCTCTCTCTCTCTCTCTTAGTTCCTCTCTCTTCGATGGAACTTCGCGAGGGTGGTGCGCGGCACGCACACGCGACGCCCGCACGGAGCGGCACTAACCCGCTGACTGCCGGAGTCGCCCCTTTTCCGCCCGCCTCGACCCCTCAGCCCCTAACCCCGAGGCTATTCCCTGGTCCCCGCGCGGTCGACCTACCACCCACACCCCCCACAGCACCACCTACCCCACCATCACCTCCGCAGCCACCTTCGCGAAACCGCCGCACTCTTCCCGCCGGTGTCTATTACTACAAGACGATGTTGACCTTTCGTTCGCGCACAGAATTTTCTGTCGTTGCTGCATGCCGGTTGGTCGAGCGCGGCCGTCGTCAAACGTCAGCGTCAATCTCTCTCGAGATCTTTGCACGTTAAATCAATATTCGACGGTCATCACGCGAGTTACTTTAGCAAGATGTGGAATTTCTTCTTCAGATCGTCGATATTTCGCTCGTGTTAAATTATCCGCTTTAGCGAACGATGCAATAATTTGCTAACGCGTGTATCGTAACGAAAGCAATCAGTGCGAAATGATGGGCGGGGGATTATTACGAGGGAATTACACGACGCTCGCTTTAAAAACAGAGCCAGTTTGGGGAAGCAGGAAAATATCGCACACAGGCGAGAGGGTGATAACGGAGAGGAGATGTTCTACAGCCTCGTTTCATGCTCTAGCCCGTCTCATCGGCGAAGTCGAAGGCTTTTCAGGACGCGAAGATCTCTCGAGAACGAACGGAGATCTCGTCGGCCAATCTAATAGCTTTTTACGCTTTATTACTCATCGTTGCGCTCAATCAGAGGTAGCGGTCGGAATAGAAAAATGGTCGCATGTAATATATTCAAGTCGGATATGTACGAGGTGGACGAGGGAGGGGCGGAGCGAAGGAGAGGCCGATATTCGCTGGGAAAAGGTTCGAGCAACGTGGATACTCGCGATAGGTAATATAGCGGAAGAGAGAGGACGCGTCTGTAAATTCCCGGAACTTTTCAAAGACAGCCATATCTCTCGTTTAATTTATTCGCATAAAGATAGAGCGTGACACAGAGGCGGCCCGCCGACGCGTAAAAAGTTCGACAAATGCCATCGCGCGTACCGGAAATGGAGAATTCCAATTATCTCGCTTAACTAAACGATTTTAGAATCAAACGAACGTTGAACGATCTTTCAAGATGAGGAGGAAAGGGAGATATATATGTAACGTGTAAGTGAGGGAAGCAATTTCAGAAGTTTAAGTCGCGCGTACTTTCGTCCCGTACCTTGTCCAGTTTCTACAAAGAAACGGAGTCGAATTTTTGCCGATCGGCGTAATTAGCGGAATGCGTTCGATCGGCGTCTTGCATTAGCGTCACAGAAGTGAACATAAATCAGGTGTGAGGAATCACGCCTTCTGCGGTCCGTTTGATCGTGACCGTTTGACGCCGGCGACACCAAAGGGACGTCGACAAGTTGCCCATCGACAAGATGGACTATTGGAAACGAGGGGACGAGAAGGGCAATCGGCGAAAGAGAGAGAGAGAGAGAGAGAGAGGCTAGTAATGAATATTAAAAAACCGATATGTCATCACCTTATCATTAGCGCACAGTTACACGGATCGCCAAAATTTCATAAACAGCAACGTGCTTCGTTATCGATTACTCGCAAATACCGTTGATGCTGCAATGAATACTGTAATTAACTCGCGTTGAATATCACCGTGTGACTAATACTACGGTATCGACACTCCATCGCACACTTGTATGTAAAACGCAATTAACGGTATTTCGGAAACTGCACACATCGCCGTACTTATCAAGCGAGCGCGCATTCGTTAAAGATTATATTTTGTAAACACAGCGAACAAGTTAATCAAAGTGCGCACAACGGTTAACGCGTCAACGGCCGTGGATAACAATGAGATCAAACGGCCAAGAAATTCCATTTCTCCGAAACCGAGAGGAATTTCAGCGCGATGTAATTTTCCAAAGGGTGGGGAAGGGGACGAGAGAGGAATAAAATACGCCGACGATGCAATGTCCCGATCATGTTGCCAATGTAATTTAACGCTTTACTCTTTAATCGTATTTACGCGTCGCATGCGCGTACCGCCGCGGTTGCACAGAGAGCGAGCGAAATATTCGACGTTCGAATTATTCCCAACCCAAATTCACAAACTGTTTTTGAGCAATGTTTGCCGATAATGTTAGCGGATTCTCGTGTCAGGTGGCTTTCTCCGACGCGCTACCGATTTCTGCAACACAGCCGCGTCGCGCTGGATTACGAGCAATTACGCGTCGTTCAGACGAATCGCAGCCGTCCGTTCGGGGTCGGTAACGGTTATTTGGCGTCCCCGAGGGCAGTCCGGTGCAATCCGGGAACTTCAATATTTGATATAGGTAGACCCCGTATACCGGGGTCTTCGAACTAGTTTCGCCGTGCGGCTTGATGACGTGCAAATTTGGTTACCCGCCCACGGGAATCGTATAATTGAATTTCGTCAGGTGTGCTTATTATCAAATACACCTTCGCTCGAATACGCGTAGCGGATCATCGTCGGGATCTACTCGTGGAGGATTCTATCGCGATTCTTTTATCTTCCCGAGCGTCAGAGTAAATCAATTAACCCGTCACGTTCGGGTAGAGCTACCGCCGCGTGCGTGCGTGCGTACGTGCGCGCGTGACAAATACCGAGTTTACGCGAATCACCAAAATACTCCATTGATCGATGTTTTTATCCTTTCGGGGCTACCTAAAACGCTGTGCGCATACTCCAATCGTCCATTCCGATCCCTTGAACATTTTTCTAACGTACAGATTTAAAACGACTCGTCGTTAATAAGCCTCCCACTCGTCGGTCAAATCCACAAGCAGCTGCTTCGTTAATTTCAACGGTCACCAAGGCGCCGAGAGGTCAGCGTATCAATTAAATGAATTTATTCATTCCGATCGTTGAAATAAACCGAGGTGGTCGGTAACAGCGTACAGTCGTTCGTAGTTTTTAACAACGAAGTATTAATAAACATATATTAACGTTGAAACTTGATAATATATTCGGCGACTGTAAAGTAAATATGCGCGCCCGTCCGTTGGCGCGCAACACGAGTCGCCACTTTGTACGTTTCCTCCATGCAAGAAGTCTCGTGCAACTCTCTCTCTCTCTCTCTCTCTCTCGCGCCACATTTAACGGCGTTTCGTCCTCATCTGCCCAGGAAGCCGTTATTCCTGACTCGCTCGTATTTACAGGAAATTCCGTAGGCGTGTTTCGCCGTCCCGCAAGAAGTATTGCGGGTAATCGAGATGGAAAATTGTTACTTCGCCTTGACTGGATCTCGCGGGACACTCGATATCGTTCCGAGCGCGAGATTCGTATTTAATATTACGGCATAGCCGCGTACACCGCTCTGCCGGTGATATCGATAGTGCACTCAAACGAACGAGACGGACAACGCATCGATTCGTGACGCACTGGTGCGAATAAAAATACGAATATCCAGCCCGGAGCCTGTAGTTTTCGGCCACGCGACAAACATGTGTATTTAAACAAACGCACTTACACGTACGAAACCGAGATTAATATCGCACTGAGCATAACAGTCGCAATAACAACCAGTGATAAAAACACGCGGTAATTAACGACATTAACTGCACGAGCCGGGGATCTTATCTCGAACGAACGCACGAGCGACGGATTATCGGCGAACGGGCGAGGGCAGTTCGCGAGTCGATCAGACGAGAACATGGGAACGTGATAACGATATGCGACGTGAAAGAAAATTGACTCGTTAATTACATAATGGAGTATACATAATGGAGTATACATAATGAGAGTTCCGCGAGAGAGCCCCTGAGCGATCGGTTAACGGCTATCACCTCCACCACCAGCACGGAGAGACGAACAGGGGGTGAGCAGTCGGAGGTCGTGGCTCGAAGGTAGACGAGGTAGACGCGAAAGTAGGAGCGTCGGCGGCCATAAACTCGTCGCGTATAGATAATGCCGTGTATACTACAGCGGAGCGCACTCTTCATCCACTTCTGGTCTCTCCACGCCGGCTAAGAGCCGCGACGTGACGCGACGCGCCGCGCCACGGCGACGACGAACGATGAAGTACCCGAAGAGTTCTAAGACTGCATTTCGAAAGCTATTATCCCAGCAAGCGTAAGACCGGGGACGCAGCAGCGGAGGACACCTACCCGGCCCACCCTGCCGTGCGACAAGGATAGGACAAAGGATCCCGTCGTGTGACGTAACCCTATTTCGTCCTATTTAAGTTAGTCCGGGTTTCAGCAGCGCTCAGCCGACCGCCGTAACAGCGCGCTTACTTACGCAAGATCGCCCCCGTCCTGAGATCCAAATCGCGACGATGTGCAATAATTTCTCCGTCGTCACTGAGAACGTATCGGAGGCCTCTTATCGACAGAGGAGGAGGAGGAGGAAGGGAAAACGAGGGCAAAGAAGTGGATTCAACTCGCAATCAGTTGAACCGACGCTTTCGGAGGCTAAACATTCTTGATGCTCCGTCCGTATCTTTTCCGTTGTTCTCGATCGCGACAGAAGACTCGCTTAATATTCGTTAAAAAGCGGAACTCTCTTTAACGATACGCGTGGACTAACGAGAGGACAAGTATGACGTCGAACGAATCGTTACGCTCGTTAATCGTCCCGATCGTTACGCAGAGTTCGGCGATTTTCCCTGCCTTGACGAATCCGAGATACCGCGTCGTGTATTCGCGTCGAGCGCGCGCTTGTGATCGAGAATGTTCCAGGGGCGATATAAAAGGTTTTTCGGACGCAGTGTACGCGGGAAGGGAACAGAATCCGGCAGAAATCTAAATCATAATAGCCGGCGTAGAAGCGCGTTGTTAAAAGTGCGGATGAAGTTTGCCGATATTTCTTCCGACGCGGCGACGTTTACATAAGTGAATATGCAATAAATTCTTACGTCATCGTAAGTAAGATAAGCGCGATATTTCACGTCGAAGCTTTATCGTTTCCGTTTCGTTGTGCAAACGCAGGATGTTCACCGCTGACTACGCTATGCACTCGTATACTGTTGCCAAAGAGAAGAACCCGATGAAGACGCGCTGCTGTCCGAGATATTTGTTCGATGGCGGATCCGGCGAAATTGGTTTACGCGAAGATAACGCTTTATACAGCTCTCCGGACGAGTCGTATCCACCGAATAACAGCATACACAGCGATTTTTGAGGCACAACGACTAACCCGAACGTTACGCGCTCAATTTGCGAACGATGCGCTTCATTCGCAAACAGAACAGCTGTTTTTCCTATTATATTGGTATTGCGTGTGTATACTTAATGCTTACGGTCTGTCTTTCTAAACAATGCTGTTGACAGCATCAATGTATCGTTACAAAGCTCCATTGCTTTCGCAAGCTCGTATAAATATCGGCATTTTTTTCCGCACTTTCTCCCCGTTCAACATTACGTCATTGTCGAGCCTTTCGGTTTTAAAGCTTTCTATTTGATCGGAACTGAAATTTCGACGCCTTTATTACAAATGGATTTAAAATAAAATAAAAAAAACGAATTTCCCTTATATGCGCGCTCACGTACGCATGCATGCACGCACGCGACAGTGATATATTTATATGGAATGTCATGTATCAAGAAATTAAATTAATATCGATTATTTACGTGCAGATGACGTGCAATTGTGCCGGCAGTGCTGGTAACAAAGATATTACGGTTAAAAAAGACTGGTAAAATAAATCGATTTGCAAAGTATACGTGTGTTTGCACATGTATGTGCGAGTCGGGTTAAGGTTTTACGCGACGCAACGAGCGATATAATTTTAAACGCGAGACTCCCCTGCGAATGAAAAAGGCGAAACAGCGTCGCCGGTCGTGGAGGGTCGAGAATGCATCTGTGGGCTTCCGCGCGGAAAAAAAAATGTGTAAATTCACTACACGCCTTTCTTCCACGCGCGCGCATCGCTGAGATTTTCGTTCTTGTTAACTGCCTAATGCAAGTAAATACCGAATCTGCTCCGCGATTCTTTAACGCGTTCATCTCACGCGGCAGCGCAGCAAAAACCAACGACGATTCATTTACGAGTCAAGCTTGCATTACGTACAGATGTCGCAAACCGACTCGTCGGCGAATCGTCCTATCGTTGGCGATAACTAGATGAAGAATATCCACGCGTAGACTGCATAAAATGAACAAGTATCGGATAGTCCGACAAAATGACGGTTGAACTGGGAATAGGCTGAATTTCATCATCGTATCGTAGACATGCTCTGGCGCGCGTAACTGTTGCGAGAGACATATCATGTGTTACGCTGTTCTGCGAATGTTGCATATGCACAGACCGATATAATAGCTTGAACATGCAGTATAATTAGCTTACTCGTATCGTTATCATGTATAGTGAAGATAATGACCTCGAGAGATAAAAGAATTAGAAAATTCGAAATTAAATTAAAAACGCCATAATGCCTGTTTTCACGCTCGTTTGTACTCTAATTAGATACACTTGCAAGCAGAATCGTGATAACATCGCCGGAAATGTTCAAGACTCTACTTCAAATATGGCCCCAATGGGTCGCCACTCTAATAGGTTAGAACCAGACCTTTGAAATATTTATTTGTCACTGTCGTTTTACGTATTCATTCTATGCACATTTTATCTTGTTATCTCTGTATTTTCAAGAAAACGTCCGACGTCCGTTCGTATTTCGACTTATTTTGAGAGAAAATTTGCATTTTACTTCAAGATGATGTGTCCCGGTATATCTTTCTGAAATGTTGACGCGACAAGAATGGACCGGATTCGCCATTACCTATTGAAATATTGTGTCACAGCGATTCTGCTACCAATTTCCATCGGTCTCGCGATCGGTTGGACTTCGCCGTACCTGGCGTTATTAACAAACGAGGAGTCACTGTTTCTAATAACATCAGAAGAAGCGTCTTGGATAGCCTCCTTGTTGCCACTGGGACGTCTGCTCGGCGCCGTCGTCGGCTCCCTCTGCGTGGCGTACCTCGACAGCAAGACGTCTCTTCTCTTAACAGGAGTGCCATTGATCGGCGGGTGGATTTGCATAATTTTCGCCGATTCTGCCGTGCTACTGTACACCTTCAGGATACTTTCCGGTAATAGCATTAATTATAGCTGCTTTAATTGCTAACGATACGCGGTACAAGTCGACTCGCCGGTCTCTTAGATATATTCCTTGATTTTCTCATTTTTCTTTTTCGGGATTATGTAAATTTCTGCAAATTCTCATTAATACGAAATACGAAATATATTGATATCTAGATCTAGACGTTAAGCCTAATTTTTCTTATGATTATACAAGATCCCGTTCTGTAACATACTTTGAGTAACATTCAATGTGTAACATTCAATATGTTAAATTCAATCTCTCTAGACTTAATCTCGAGCCTTCAATCTTGCCTGTTGTGTCACACTGATCAGGAATGTCGATGGGAATGCTGTTCAGTTGTTACCCGCTCTACATCGGCGAAATTTCGATGCCATCAATACGTGGGGCCTTAGTGGGTTTGGTGATCAATGGGTTACCATTAGGCACTCTCCTCGGCAATATCATGGGTCCTAAAATGTCAATGATGTATTTCGGAATCATCAGTTTAGTAGTGACGATATGCTATTTAGGTACCTTCCCGTTCCTGCCGCAGTCGCCGCATTATTTCGTACGACGCGGTGACATGGAAAGGTGAATAATGATTTTCTTTCATTCGCATGATTGTTTCGCAAAAGTGATGCGCCAAGTCGAAGCAAATTTCCCCTTGGACCTTTCATGCCGCAAACAATGGAAATATTCAGAAGATAATCGTGATAAACGCGACCTCATATATTCCGAATACAAATACGGCGATACAATAACATATATGTGAATTGATATCACTTGAAGAAGCGATACTATTATATTCCTATTATGATCCTAGAGCAAGGAAAGCCATTCAATGGTATAATCGTAAAACCGACACAAGAAGCGAACTGGAGAACGTGGAACTCTACGTGAAGTCGTCGTCTTCAGTGACCGTAAGAGAACGGCTGAAACGAATAAAGGAGCCAAAGAACCGCCGCTCTTTCCAGATGATAATAATACTGTTCATATTCATGCAGCTCAGTGGACTAAATTCCATTGTATTTTACATGGAGATCATCGTCAGGGAAGCGATGGTTACCTCGATCGCACCTTCGACCGTTGTAATAATCATTAGTGCAGCTGGTATGATCCATTTTTGATACATCATTTAGTACGATATTATCATTTTCACTCCGTACTATTTTATATCGACAGAGGATAAGTCCGTTATAAAATGTTTCAACATTGAATTCAGATCTGCTGCGTGATGATCACAATGCGCGTTAATCTCAAGCTCCATTTTTCTCCATTTTAAAACAGCAAAAGACCGTTGTTAACGAATGCGTTCTGTCTTGATTTATCTGATTGCGGCACAGCTATAATTTGTGGCTGGATCGGCGCGTTCGCCATTGATCGTTACGGTCGTAGGATTCTGTTGGCAATCTCAACCATCAGCGTAACGATCGGCATACTGTTACTCGCACTGCACTTTTGGCTGCTCGACTACGACTATGATCCTAGGAATCTCGAGTGGTTAGTCATTTTGGCGTTTCTGGTATTCACACTGCTATTTATGGGGGTCGTGCCGGTACCCACTACGATGCTGAGCGAACTGTTTCAATCTGATCTGAAGAGCTTAGCCGGATTTGTCGCTAGTGTCACGTCGGCGATATTCGCGTTCATCGCCGCTAAGACTTATCAGCCACTAGTAGACATCATGAGCGAGCAATACCTTTTCTGTGCATATGCTGTACTCATGGTGGGCTGCCTAATATATTCAATGGTGAAAGTGCCGGAGACGAAAGGAAAAACATTGCAGGTAAATATATCGATGATGTTCAATGTGTTATTCGATTACACGGTTATGATTACAATCCTTTGTTGTTCGAGTGAACGTAATTTTAGCTCAGTACATTGACGAAAATTGATTAGCTGTGATGGAGATTATGTACATTTACGCGAACCAAATCATTATCCTGGTTCTGGCATATAAAGGTTGAACGTTAATTATTGGTAATGTTAATAGGAAATTCAAGACATGATGGCTATAGGAAACAGCGGGAAGACGCAAAAAAGGAACGATGACAAAGCTTAAAATAATGTAGCAAATTGAATATCCTGACAATATATGAGAAAATTAGTAATTAGCAATGTAACTACGAACGGACGAACGTGAAGGACATGCGGATATATTATATGTTATTATTAATACTGTAGATATCGCTAGAATGTATTGTAGAAACAAAGGATGTGTTGTAGAAATAAAAATAAAAGCTGGCAGAAAATAAAAGTTCGTAAAAGGGAAACGATTACATGCAATTATCAGATAGCTCAGTGAGCGAATATTAAATCGACTGAGAATAACAATGCGAATCTAAAGTGCAAAGAAATAGAACTGCTACAGAAACAGATGATACTAATAAGTTCATTGACAAAAGATATTCCGGGTGTGCGGCAGTAAATCATTACATAAAACAAGTATTTCACCGGTTTCACAAAGTGACTTTTTACTTCTTTTATGAATCTGCTTTTTTTATAAATCATCTATTCCCCATTTTATTATACCACCCAAAATAGAACAAATATCTTAAAGAAATTTTCATACATTTTGTTGATATTTGGTTGAAGATACACAATATTGAATATTAAAAACAAAACTATGTGAGCAAAATGATAACCAAATTTTTCATAAAAATAATCAACCAAAAAAGTAGAAAAGGAAAATTTAGCAGGTCTGATATTTTTACGTCGAGTCATATGTTATGAAATACTTTATACCATTAAGGCCACGTAGAAAGAAAAATTCCGTTAAACAAATATCTAGCTATAAATATTCGAGGGATTTTTTTTTATAAAAAAATAACTTATATAATTATAACGAGAACTGATTTGTGTAAAATTATGTAGTTCAAATTAAATACCAATGGCACAAATCATTCAGTTAAAATTAGGCGAACAAAAACAGCTCGGTAAACTGGTGATGAAACTGAAATGAATTTATTTTACAATAATTGCAAAAGCTATTTTGATATGTTTACGGTTAGTATTCAAAATATGCGTTTTAGATGTCATTATGAAATTTATTATTAAGTTGGTGAATTTCTAACGACATCGTGAGCAAACATGATGCAACAGATTGCGTAAGGATTGCGTAAACTAATGTAACTTCTCATAGAATGATCGTCAGCTCCGACAAATAACATAATTATCCTATTAAAGCTTGGCTCTCTCCGCTAGCCATACCGGTTTTGTGACGTCATAGGCGAGAAATTACATGCAGTAAGTTTCTTGCAACACGTATCTTTGATTTCTAATTTTACCTGAAAAATACAATGATTTTATAATCTTGAAACCTGTAAAATGTGCAGAAAACTGAGATATCTGACCAATATGTCTCGTAGAATGGCAAAATAATTCTTGAAATAATTGGTCATTTTTCAGCCATTTGAACTATCGTGATCGTTCGAGTGTTTCTCAGGGAAAATAAAAAAATAAAGCTACATGTTGCAAGAAACTTTTTGTATGCCATTTCTTGCTTCTGACGTCATAAAACAATATAGCCGCCCGAATAGTAGTCAAGCCTTAACACCGTTTAATAAAGTACAGTCTATATAAAATTAGATTCCAGAATCTAGAATTATATGAGATTAATGATTTTTTTCTAAAATTTCGGTGAAAGATAAATAAGAACGAAACGAAATATAATACAGTAAGAACAATAAGCAAAGCACAAGTCACGTATAACAAAGTGACGTATAAGCGAAAATAAACAATAGCGATAAACAGCGATAATTGGAACAAACAACTCTCACGGATTCTAGTAATGATAATGATATCTGAGATGCTGATACTGAGAATTCTGAAATATGGTTGTTTAACGAATGTCTTCCTTCGCTTAAAATTTATACGAAGTAGAATCGTGTTAGCAGTTCTGCGGGAAGATTCGCACTAGTCAATTCGGTTCTCAAATTCGCGGGAATTTGAAGTTAGTATTGTTCGTAACTGCATGCGTCCGTGGTTCATGTATTGGAATGACCAGTATATAAATTAGTATATTATCGAGAGGTAAGTCTTGAATTATGGCTCCACGTGGGGAATAATATGCCGGTAAAAATATAGGATATACGTTAAGGATATTCGGGGACGAATATAGTCAGGCTAGTCGAGTTAGTAGGCGATCAAGCGAGGAACGGATCATCTTGATAATTAAGATCTATAAAAGAAAGAAAGAAAATTTATCGGAGCGAGAGTAACTTAATTGGTAGAGCAATCGCCTGGCAAATGAAGGTTCTCGAGTTCAATTCTCAGCAACCTCGCGTTCCCGGCATATTTTTTCTCTTCCTCTTATAGATCTTAATTGTCAAGATGATTTATTCCTAGCTTAATCGCCTGCAATATCTTTCAGAGTGTACTAAACTTGAAAAATGCACAATCGGGGGCCGCGACTTTTAAACTAATAAACGCATGCAGTTCGTAGATAAATAATTAACGAAAAAAAAGAAGAAACGATGAAAGGTTGATATTTCATGTTTTCTTCAAACACAGTAATATAAACACAATAAGTCATGTCCGTCACGAAATGTTTGCATTATCTGCAAAACAAAACGTAGTGCCTTTGGAACCTTGATAATTATACAGTAGCGATTCTGTGCTCTCTCGACATTCAGAAGGCTCAGCGTAAAGAGCATTCAGCGGGGTCAGCATGGATCATAGGACAGAAAAAGTGGTAACCAAGAACACTATGTGGCCTCAGTGGGTCGCTGGTATTGGAGGTAAGATATATTCGTGCATTCAAACGAGAGAGTCTATTACTTTCGAATATATTAATTAAATATGCCTTACGTGAGGTTTTTCTATAATTCACCGATATTCATGTGAAGATTTCTACCTGCGCGAATTTCTACGTCTAGTCGAAGAGAGAAAGAACCATCGAAACTAAAAAAGAAACTCTGCGGAAAAGTAATCGTGAATACAATGAATTGCCGATTGAACTCGGCGGCTAATGAGCAACTGGCTTGATTCCAGTGGCTTTTTTATTGCTACAAATCGGATTATCGGTCACTTGGAGCTCGCCGTACATCGCCTATCTGATTTCTCCCGAATCTCACATTTCAATAACAATGAACGAAGCATCTTGGGTAGTTTCCCTGTTAAATTTGGGCCGACTGGTCGGTGCGATTTTCGGTTCCGTCGCCGTCAACTACTTTGGCAGCAAGACAACAGTCCTCGTCACTAGTTTTCCGATGGCATTATGCTGGATCTTCACGATCGTAGCTGACCGGGTAGAATGGCTGTACGCTGCCAGATCTTTAGCCGGCATTAGCCTGGGGATGACGTACAGCAGTTTCTCGCTCTACCTAGGAGAGATCGCAGATCCTGCCATTCGCGGAGCTCTGATTGTTCTAGGTATGCTAATGCGCGCGTGAGTAAATCCTCGTCAATATTTATGCAACGCAATTTCAAGGAATCGCGAAAAACACGAGAGAACCGAAGAATTTCGAGACGTTAGAAACAACCGTAGAACTTTCGTAAGTGTAAATATTTTCGAGCAAAAGTGTTTTTCAGATACAATCATGACGCGAATTAGTGTGTGCAAATGATTAATAAGAGCCGTTAAAAACGATTGCGTCTATGAGATAGCAAAGTAACGAGATAACCTATTTTTGAACGTACTGTTATATTGCTCTATTTTTCAATAGTAATAAGACGAGGCATATCACGCAATTGAAAGCTTCCGAGCGAATTTAAACCTTAATTTAATCCAAAGCGCATCGAATATATTATTCGTCCAAAAGCTCCTGCGAATATTGAGAAATCTCGGGAACTGCGTGCGTGTGCGTGTATGAATGCTAATATATCGGAGTTATTAGAGTTATTAATAGATAACTATGTGTGCAAATTAACAAGGAACGCTTCTTTCTTACAGCTACGAGCGGATTAACGATAGGCAACACGATGATTTCCATTATGGGCGCGTACTTAACGATGAAATTTTCCGCAATATTGTGCCTCCTGCTTTGCGTCATAGTGATGATCATTTTCTTCTGGTTGCCGGAATCACCACACTACTTCGTCAAGATCAAGCAAGAGGACAAAGCGCGAATGTCGCTGCTCTGGTACAATCGCGGCTGCGACGTAGACAAGGAGCTGCACACCTTGAAGAAATTCATCGAGGCCAATAACAATCTATCTTTCGTGAACGTTCTGGAGGAATTCAAGCATAGGCACATCAGGAAGGCGTTAATACTCATAATGGTCCTCTTCATGTACAGCATGATGTGTGGCTTGAACAACATAGTCTTCTACATGGAAATCATTCTGAGAAACGCGCAAGTGACCATCATTAGACCAGCGATAGTCGTGATCATCGTCATGGCTTGCGGGATCATCAGCTCCATATTCTCTATTTTCCTTATCGACAAGTTCGGCCGGCGGATTTTGATGTTAACCTCCAGCCTAGCTTGTAGCATTTCGGTGGCCTGTCTCGCCATACAGTTCCAGCTCCTCAACGCGGGCTACGATGCCGTGATTTTGCAGGGTTTGCCGATCTTCGCTACGATGTTATTCCAAATGTCTGTCTTCGTGGGTGTGCTCTCGATACCCAACACGATGCTTGGTGAGATTTTTCCACCGCACGTCAAGTGCGTGGCCTCATGTTTCACCAGCATCGCCGCTGCTATCTTCTCTTTCATATCCACGTCGACTTATCAACCTCTCATCAACCTGATCACCGAGAAATACACGTTCTACGTTTACGCGGCGATACTGTTTACCGCGATCCCGTACACGCTACTGTGCGTACCCGAGACAAAGGGCAAATCATTACAGCAGATTCAAAAAGAACTGATGAACAAATCGAGCCTATCATTGAGCGACATATAAAATGAATTATCCCCGCCGAATCATTTAGTTAATTCTCGACGAGACAACATTCGTTTTCTCGTGTTCGCTGTGAATATTTTTTTTCTTTTTACGGAGTATCAATGTCTCCTTCGGATCACTGTGACGTAAATGACATAACTATCATACATAATCGTATTTTCTCGCGATAACTTTAATCGTTACTAACGATGAATTGGCATATAATAGAATATAAATCAGTTACTGTTTTGTGGAAAGCATGAATACGCGTAATATGTTGAAATGTTTTTTATGTGCATGCATGCATGTGTACGTGTGTGCGTGTGTGTGTTTGGTTTTGATAAAATGATGTGTACATTTATATTATGTGTGTACGTCCTCTTTATATACAATTGTATTAAATCTTAAGATCGTATTAGATTGCAAAAGAGAGAGAGAATATATGTACTTTCTTTAATTATGTCAGAATTCTTTGGCCGCAACAGAGATTACACCCAGTGTCGGCAAAAAATTACACCCGTCGATGTAGCAATGAACGGCGAGCGATAAAATTAGGCGCGACAGCGGCGCAATTTCGCAACATAATGGCGACTGATTTACCAGGTTGCAAAGCACACCTATCTCAATCTCCCCTGAACATTATG